TGCCACGACCCCTTCCCTCTGGCTTAGCCGCACAATAAGCAACAACTCACGACCTCTCACATCCCGACCCCTGGGAGGAACGAGGAGTGACCGAGTCCCACCAAGCACGCCTGCTCTGACAAGAGTAGGTACGCCGCACTGATCCCGTAAGGACCAAGGGGACAGCAATCACCTTGGCCCGGTCAAACGCCATTCCTGCGCCACGCAGCGAAGACAAGAGAACACCGCCGAGCAATGATGGCCAGTACGGAGACCCACCGTCCAAATATGGCCTGACAAGATATATGTACAATTCCACCCACTATGGGATGGGATCCACGACGGTGGCCTTGACTTAGAGGCCACCCAAGCCAGCAAGGACAACGACCTAGGAGCTTGGGATCATGGTCACCAACTCCACGGACACAGCAAGATGATCGGCGATCCGGGTGCAGCTACCAACTCCTGTACGATGCCCCCGGATGACCAAGAGGTGATGACAGAGGCCACGGTGAGACCACATCGCGTAGGATGGCTGGCGAAACACCACAGTGCCCATAGTGCCACCATGACCGACATTGTAGCACCATGCAACACCATTCCACGATGTGGGCACAAGACCATGATGATAGCCACGCCAGGACATGCACCACAAGACGGTGTTACTTGCAAGCCAAGTTAGCTAGGCCCCCTCCCTCAGGCTCATGACCCCTTGGTTGGGAGAACCTTCTTCTTTGTATGTGACCTGGCCTCGGACTCTATATAAGGGTAGCCAGGGCACCCTTCCCATACATCATCTTCACAATCTCCGGACTCTCAAAGCTTTCATTCGGGCAATCCGTCTCCTAGCTCTAGCTCTTCTACCTCTTCCCCCATTCTTGTACCCCCCATTGTAAGAACTTCAGAGTATTCAACCAAGGAACATGCACTCGATCATCTCTGAGACTGGACATAGGGCTCCGGCCTAAAAACCAGTACAACTCCTCATGTCTTTTGGATGCTACCATCATTTTCCTAGAGCAGCGCGACACTAGTTGGTCTACAAAACATCGACAATGTTTTTCTAAGGTATCAGAGAGTTGGCACTCTCCACTAGTCCTCGTTAGAGCACCTGTGCAAGGGTACGGTATTGCTCCCCTTGATCCGTGCAAGGACCAAGTGCTCTCTATGGGTTGATTATTTCGCCACTCCAGCACGGTGAATCACCCACAACCGTTTATACTATGAGTTAGGCCTCTCACAATCGCCTCCAAGAGATCATGCATCTCCAAATCACCACCAAGCTATCTAGGTGAAGCTGATCACCAAAGAGTAACAAGCACAAACTCTCACTTGACCCAAATAAGCTTAATGAGAAGAATGCATGCACACTTGCTACTCGCTAAGTATTAATGGAGTTTTTAATCTTGGATTATCAAATCTAAATCAGTTAACTAGCCTTAAGCTCTCCCTTGGACACCTTGGACACAAAAGAGTGTATGCAGCTGTTCTGAATGCCAAGAGAGTCTAAATGCACGAGATGGAGGGCTGCATATGGATCCCACTCCAAAAACTAGCCGTTTGAAATTCACTCAGTTTTTTTTCATATTCACTGGAAAAGTCCATTGCTAATTTGGACTGAGCTGGAGTTTCCCGGTGCCTCTCGAACAACTATTTTCGAATTAACTGTTATTGTATGACCCTAGTAGTGCTTTATCCGGTGGTACCCGCCGGATTAATCCGGTGACTCCAAACCCTTATTGGAACCTCTATGGTGAGCAAAGGATTCTCCAATGACCCTCATTGAATTCTATTCCTTGTTCCCAATCACAACCACTGTTGACTTGGATCCTTTTCTCCGGTGCCACTGGAGGAAGCAATAGCACTATTCACATAACAGTATTTACCTTAATAGATGCTGCTTTCTTCGATGCACCCCTAACTAGGGCAGTGGATAAATCTGGTGCTGTAAAAACTCCTCCATTTCCATCCAATTCAACTAACTTTGAAAATGGCTTTGCTTCCATATGATCTTAGGGCCTCATCTGAGTTACCTAGTGCTAAGTTTGACAAGTTTACATCACATCCACCCACTAAAATTACCTAGGTCAAGCTACCAGTTCATACCCCCTTTATAGTACGGCCAAAGGAAAAAACAAAGTCCTCAACTACTCTTAGTGTCTCTCCAAATAGCACTTAGAACTAGTTTGTCTTTAACCGAAAACCATACATAGGAGCATAAAAACTATTGATTGCCCTTTAATCAATCACCATTGTGACATAACTTATAATCCTCTGCAAAAAACATGTTAGTCACAATGATTGTGTCGTCATTAATCGCCAAAATCAAATTAGGGCCTAGATGATTTCAATCTCCCCTTTTTTGGTGATAGATGACAGCACAACCTCGAGTATGTGCATAATGTAAGAATTTGATGTTTTCAAACACTTGGTTTGCATGGACATGAGACAATAAGAGCAAAGGGGTCAGAGCATGTTCATGCGAACCAAGTCCACAACATGTAAACAAGAGATATGGAACAAAAGGTACTCGTTTGTCATAGAATTAGATTGGAAGTGCACCAAACGAGTAACATAAGTCAGATAAGCATAGAATATGGTAGAGAGCACACATATGTCACATAGAACCACCACAAGCACGTAGCACACATAGTATCTCACGGGTGCATGAAAGTAAACGCGAATGCATGAGAGTAGCATGCACAAAAGATCAAATCTCATCTCACTAACTCTCCCCTATTTCACATACTCTCCCCTCGTCCCTTTTGGCATTAAGCACCAAAACCTAAGGATCAACACTAGAGGGGTGGATGTATATGAGTCTGGTAATGAAGTGCGTTTTTGACTTATTAGGGTAGTGAAGTGCGCTGAGCAAGCTCGAACTGATAAGCAATTTGCTCATCGTCTGTCTTGGGAGTAGGGCCAGTTGGCTGGATCTCAACTATTGTCTTAGGCTTGGATGAAGAGGTCTGACTCGCTGACACTGTAATAGTAGTCGTGGCCTCAGGTACTGAAGAAAGCTGAGGAGGTTGACTCGAGGAAATCGGGGGGCTCTGACGATGCCACTGAGGAAGGTAGAGTCTCTATTGTCGTTGTCTCTGGAGCACCGATAGCTGTGTTCATGGGGCGAGATGAGGGCAGATGATGCGTACACACATCGCCTCAAGACTTTTCTCAGTGGGGAGCTCATATGGGTTTCATTTGTATTTAATATTGTGACACATCAGCAAATTTGATGACTTGACAGGTTAATAACGAAGAGAGAGAGTGATTCATCTAGATGAAACCTATTATCATAGGTACCAAGGCAAAAACTAACATGGCGGTCTTAATAACAACGCCACGCCACTCACTGGAACTAGGCTAAGACGCTAAGTGTGTGACTCTTCCACCAATGCAAAGCACCAGACAAAAATGCGACAATCTTTTTCAATGTTTCAAAAATGAATATGATATGTAATAGAAAATGAAGGGGTAATATAACCACGTCCTTACACTGAGAAAAAACTCTCCCTATAAAAAACGGTAAAGAGGAACATAAAACAATATGGGAAAGAGGAACATAAAAAGGAAGAAAATCTAGGTCGTCCCAACCTGCATACAACTAGTTTATTTTTTTGTTACTCAATAGAAGAGTAGGTACTACTTACTAGATATAATTGATATTGATATAGGAGCGAAAAATGCAAGCACGTTCTAGAGCACCTGGCTGGTCTGATTCCCGTTCCCATCAGCCAGCAGGGTTATGGTCGCTATGTAGGTAGGATCTGTTTGGTAGATGGAGTGGAAAACGCACTCGTGTGTCGTACGGTGTCGTGTCGTACGGGATCTAGGTGGCACGGCGGCAGCTAGCAGCTAGATCTCTCCTACGTCCCTGACGGTGTGCGCGCTGCGCGGTCAAGGGTGGGCTCAACGACGCGTACCCATCGCTCGTGCGACTGCAAGGAGCATCGCTCGTGCGACTGCAAGGAGCCATTCATCGTCAGAATAATAATCAGTAAAAACACTAGGCCGTCGTCGTCGTCACTCGTTAGGGGAGTTGTGCTAATAATTTAGGTGGACTCCGTCTCATCTCCTCCGACGCCATGGCGATGTCAGCCATGCGTGCCCTGCCCTGCGCGATCACCATATGCATGCGGCTGAGACACTGATCAGTGCAGGGTGAGGGGGGGCGACGAACAATCCCGGCCCCTCCTAGTATTTTATCATAGGTCTAGTAGAGAAACGTACTAGATGAATCATGAATCGACCAATGCAGCGTAGTTGTACTTTAAACCTCCGGACTTGAACATCGTACTTCATCGTCAGTGACGTACCTCGTCAGTCGTCACGGGATTATATATATGATTTTTTCTAGTATATATACAGAATGTCACTCTTGAGTCTTGACTCTTGACGACTAGAGTGGTTTAACAACCGTACTAGCATCGTGCGCTATTCTACTTCTACATACCGGTGGCACAAGCTAGCTAGATTACATACAGTATATATACACGCAGAGCGTCCAATGGAAGCCCTCGACTTCAACATCACAAACTGTACTAGTGCTACGTCGTCCAACATCGTAGTCAATAGAACTAGGCAGGAACCATGCAAAACCAGCTGCTATGCCTGTTTAGGTATGATTTATGCACACTCCCAAGGAAAACCAAGTCTAAGTAACAAGCAAAAGTAGTTGGGTTCTTGAGTACCAAACACCGGCTCACTCATTTTAATTTCCAGCTCTAGGTACGGTTCAAAACACCGTACCTCCGATCCAATTGGTTCCTGGAATCACATTTCACAACATAAATAGTATATGCATCCCATGTTTCTCAAGGAGCATGCAGTCCATTTCCCAGTGTCATTGTTGCTGAAGCCAGCAGCCTTTAACATACTTAAGGGACTGCATATATATATGCTGCTAGCTAGGTAGTGTGATCATAAAGGTGTGAGTTCCACTTCCACACACTCAAAGCTAGCTAGCTGCCATGGTAGCACTCAAGCTTTGGAATTTGTGTTTCGTAGTTGTGCTTTCATCGATGGCCATCTCTTGTTGCAGAGGTAATCTATCTTCAGTTCACAACAGTTTATGTTTGTTGCCGTACGAAGCATGCATGGCTAATTCAACACTTCCTTCTTCTGACTTGCTATTCCTTACTTCGACTTTACTTGAGGGGTTCAAACTTAGTTTTATACAGTGCTCCTCTTCTTTTTGCAAAAAAAAGAGGTTTATATATACAACAGTTAAATTTAATCAATCTCTCAGAATTTTAAGCCTTGCCAAACAGAAGCCAGCTCTTGTGTCTTTTTCACAGATGCTAAGGCCTTCCAAAACAAGGCATCCAGATCTACAAATGACACTTGACAAGCATATATAATTTACTGAACACTTTGTTGTTTTTATGCGCAATGCAGGACAAGGAGGAGGAGGTGGTGGTGCAGGAGGAGCAGCTGGTGGTGGTGCAGGGGGCGCGGCAGGTGGTGCTGTGGTGCCGGGGACACAGGATGCCATCCAGATTGTGTCACAGGCTGCTCTCTGCTTTGACAATAGACAGGTAACGATTCTTTGGTCTGCATTCTAATTAAGCTCAATTCATCACATCAACTGCTCTCTGTGAGGGTACCACATATACAAGGTTCCTTCTGACTATTGTTAGATATTTAGGCATTTTCATTATCAGTTTAATCCAGAAATATAACATCAGCAGGTTTGTGACAGCATATATGTACATGTGTATATTTCTTATAAACGCTACAGCATGCATAGATGACATACTGATTGATACAGTAAGAATACAAAATACAGTAATCACAGATATTAGACTGTACCCAGCGGAGGGTCCCATGCCGAGGGCATCGGAGGCTCCATTCGCACTAGTCGACATAGTGCGTTGCTCGAAGTCGCGGACCACAGTCGACGCAGGAAGATGTTCGCAGTGCAGTCCCACGAATGGATCACCAGGAAGAAGACGCCTTGACGTTCCAGGAAGAAGACGGATCCAAGAGCGATCTCCAGCAGGAAGAAGATGGACGAGCAGTCGCGGATTGCTCCCCAAAAACCTAATCGCCGCTCACCCCGTGCAGGATTCTCAAACGGCCGAGGGTTCCGGAGACACCTGCTCTCCCGCTCCTCCGTGCGCGCAGAGGTACGGGACGGGGAAGTCAGAAGGCTGCTGATCTGTAGTTCTCTCGGGAACGGTTGCGGAAGACAGGATCTGGACTGACGGAAGACGGGATATATGGCTGCGACAGGGGAAGGAGACGAAGGCAGCGGAGAATCCCAGGAGACGGGAAGCGGAAGCGGAAGGGACGGTAACTGACGCAGTCAGTTCGCCTCCACCATCAAGGAGCGAAACTCCCGTGATAATGTGGATTTAAGTGGCAAAAGACTGGCCACGCCCGCCTGCCACAGCCCGGCCGGCGGCGGCGGCACGCGCGTGTGGCACGCATTTATCATTTTCTCAGCTTCTCAATTTAGATGAATAATTTCCAACCATATAAGTTGAGTCAGCGTTCAGTCAAAATCTCGTATGGTATTAAGCCATATAGCACTTAAAGTTACGTACCATAGAGTTTTATTTGATTTATTAAATATTATATGGGTCAAACCCATATTATATCCAACAACTATAACATCCCAATTCCCAATTACTGCAGATCTGCACCAATCATGCTTATCACCAATATAATCCTTTGCATAAGATATCTAGTTAATCTCCCAGCTTATTTGGTAGGCCATGCATTTTAATTCGTTTTTACAACCCCCTTCTAAGTTTAGTAATGTTTGCTCCTTTCCTAGTTCACCGTGGAGCATACATCACCCCCTAATCCCTATACCATTACTGGCTTACTGCTAATAAATAACCGCAGAAGTCCCTAATTCATCATACGTTCAGTAAACAATTTTATTTTGTGACCAAAGTAAGATAGTTACAGTAAGGATAAAAGATTCTACAAAGCAGAGAATGACCCCTTCCGAATAGCTTTTCTTTGCCTTTTTGCACATGTATTTGATTCTACTAGATAAATGTACATCTGGAAAAGAAAAATGCAAATGGGCACTCTACTGAAGAAAGAAAACGTCGCGTGACAGGTGATAAATGGGTGCCTCCAAGCAATGGGCATCAATGTCAACGGCAGCGGCGCTAGCGGCAACGGCAACGGTGGCAGTAGCAACGGCAGTGGTGGCAGCGGCGGCAGAAGCAACGGCAACAGCGGGTCAACGGCGATCATGTGCCAAGGGCCGTGCTTCGGGCAGATGATGCTGATGATGACCTGCGTGAACGGCATCCTAGGCAACATCCAGGGCTACAGCCCTGGCCTCATGCAGGGCGTCCAGGCCGTCTTCCAGATGTCCTGCGGCAACGTTGGCAACAGCCAACAGGGTGGCGGTGGTGGTGGAGGTGCCGCCGGTGCCACTGGTGTCGGAGGTGCCGGGAGTGCCGGTGGAGCTGGTGGAGAAGGTACCAGCGGTGCCAGTGGTGGTGTCGCTGGCGGCGCCGGCAATGCCGTTGGTGCTAGCGGGGGCAGCAATACGGCCAACAGTGCCAATACTGCTGGTGGTTCTACGAATCCTAACGGAGGTATGATCACCATTTTTTCCGAAGCAAATCCTGCTTGTTTATATAGTTTATACTCTCTCCGGTTCTAAATAACTGTCATTTTCTTTTACCAGGAAACAACTTTGACTAAATATATATAAAAATAATAATATTTATGATACAAAATTAATATCACTAGAAACTAGATAGACCGTTGAATTTATTTTCATAATAAATTGATTTAGAGATACAAATGTTGCATGTATTTTTTATAAATATAGTCAAATTTACGGTACGAACAAAAAAAATGATAGTTATTTATGGACAGATGGAGCATGTAGTAGATAGACCATCTGTTTAGCAAGAAAGTAGTATGCTAAGTCAAAAAAAAAAAAGAAAAAAACAGTATGCTAGTAATTTCAGACACAAAAAATAGTACTCTAAAGGAATATAATTAAAGCAAAAACGAAACATAATATAGCGGATTAAAATGGGATGAACAAATGAAATGCCATTCCCACGCATGCAATGTTGACCTGCAAGTCACATCTGACATCTGCAATGTTGATCTGCAGGCTCACACACGGCGGTAAGCAATCTTGATGAGCTAACCAGCAGCGCGGATGGGCCCATGGCTAGCTTCACCAGCAGATTTCCCTCGATGCTAAGGACTTGGGCGTGTATTTGGCTACTGCGGCTGTTGTGGCTTTGATATGAAACTGTCTCACATGCACCGAAGCCAATGAATGCGGTGCCCAAAGGTTGGAACTAGTCAAGTGTAAAGCCATGGAGGCCCTACAAGTTATCCTTTGATGTACGACACGAGTCTCTGTCTCAACAACGTAGAGGTAGGCTAGCCTTTGTGGTGAGTCAAACCACGGAAGAAACACCTTGTCCTTTGTGTTCTTACTGCTATTTGTGTGCTCTACTTTGTGTTGGTTGTGAAATTAGGGTTTTCACTTGATCTACTTGCACAAGAGCTTCCAGCCTTGGAGAAGTGATGAAATAGAACCTTACTACTACCACGAACACTAACATTTCACTCGATCTACTTTTCCCTTACCAGAATTTGATTTGTGGTTTCGAGTTGCTCTAACGTTCTAACCGCTGCATTGAGTTTAACTTTTAAACAGGCCTATTCACCCCCTCTAGGCTTGCCCGATCCTTTTCAAGTGGTTTACTATAGATGCTTGACTTAATTGGCTATTATGATTTTTCATCTTAATATTCGTTCTATTGAGATTGAGATTGAAAATGTTGAATAACTAAGCCATTCAATCAAGGAGAAAAATGTTGAAATGACCTCAGGTGGTCAATAAAGACAGAATCAAAAGGGGCTTAACAATCACATAATGACCTTGATTGGGGGCACTCCTAACGGACTAAACGGCGTCTCAGGACCAACCCTCACAATAAGACTAAAGGGTCTTAACAATCACGTAATGACCTTGATCGGGGGCACTCCTAACGGACTAAACGGCGTCTCAGGACCAACCCTCACAATAAGACTAAAGGGTCTTAACAATCACGTAATGACCTTGATCGGGGCACTCCTAACGGACTAAACGGCGTCTCAGGACCAACCCGCACTATAAGACTAAAGGGGTCACGTTAAGATGACTCTATCTCTCTTCTAGTTAATCCACATATGACCAGCCGCCGACCATCTCTGTGTCGGTGTGCTCACCACCGACGCCCACTGGAGGAGGAGATGAACACTATGCCTGCATCACATAAACACGGGGACTTCAGCAGCCCTCTAACATGAAGTATTATGGCCTCATTTGGCTCAACTCAGCTTTATTAGTGAAGTTGTTTTTTCATGAGTAACTTTCCAGGTGTAGCTGAGCTATTTAAAAAAAAATTGTTTGGCAAAACAGCTTCACCAATAACTTCATGTATGGATGAGAGAGAGAAATAAGGGAGAGAGCTAGGATAAGCTACTTTTTCAGCTTTATCCCAACTCATGACTTTGTGAGAGGAGGAGAAAAACAACTTCACCCATTAAGCTTTTTCAGAAATAAGTGTGGCAAAAAAAAAAGCTCCCAACAGCTTATGAAGCTATTGTGAACTCTGCCAAACAGACCCTGTAAAGAAAATTATTATAATTACCAATAGAAGCTGCCTCTATAAGGTACGTACAACAACATAAAGCATCGAACATGCAAGTGCGATATCAATATTGAAACCTTGATTGATTGGCAGTGGTTGTCAAATAAATGTTTCCGTGTAAGCAAGGTTATAGTTATAGCATGCCACTCGGTGATCGGATTGCCGTCAGCCCGTTAGATCCGACAGAGATTTGGGTACGAAAAAATCAGCTAGTCCTAGCTACCAAGATATGTCCGTTTTGACTTGGCAAGAGTGAAAGCACTACTCTTCCAGTCTTCCTTGGCTAAACTTCTCGTTGCCCTCCGGTACGGTAAATCAAAATCTGGGAGAAAGCTTCTATTTGTCGAGTGTTTGTAGACTAGCACCAAATTAACTTAAATAAGGAGCTTCACACACAACACACTGGTACAAGCAACCACGCGCATTACAACCAGATCATCCAAATCCTTTAATTAACATGTAAACCACCACGGCACCACCCAAAGTGATGAAGCCATTTGCTCTCCTGCCCTCCTGGCTGTGACGTGGTTGTACAAACGGGTAATGTACATATAGATATAGCACACAAAACACTACTCTCTCCTTCCAAAACAGAGTGTACTTCTAGATATAGTCCAAATCAAACTATTTTAAGTGTGGCTAAATTTATAAAAAATACCAATAATTTAGCTATGAAAAATATTTTATGGTAAATCAAATGGTGCTTATTTGATGTCATAAATATTTGTATATTTTTTTAAGAGATTGGTTAAACTGAAGTTGATTTAGCACTGTAGCTAAATGTGCGCTCTTTTTTGGAACAGAGTAAGTAATTACTAAAATTCTTTGGAGCCCTTGAAAAGTTGAAATCAAGGAGCTGATTCAGAGCTTCTGGAGATGATTTCTCATCACTACTAGCCCATTGGTTTGTTCCAACCTTATTGCATACAAGTTAAGAGCTGCATGCGTACAATTGCTCATGTTTTTTCTGTTGAGCAAATTACATTGCTCAAAAGTTAGAGTATAGGCAATTCTTCTGGATAAGTTTAGCGAGGAGTGTGCAATTGAGCATCCTTTGGAGTATGAGTCGGACTATAGGTTGGTAAAAAAACTCTGTAGCCTCGACACCCACATGCATGCTCAAATGGCCATATATTTATAACCGATCAGCCACAGGCTAATTTAGAGGCAATAGCGAGCATAAGCCTAACCAACCCTGTTCATCAACTCATCATATTGTTCATCTCTAAACAATGGCCTCTCAAAGAAGTGGTAGCTTGTTAGCCGCCCTAGCATTTGCCATTTGCATACTAGTCCCATGCTGCTCATCCAGTGAGTATCTGGTCGTACTTTGCTGTTTCAAACAGCTAGGACTTTCATAATCTCTTACATTTTCTTGGATACTCAAGGAAAATGCCTGAAACATCCAAGGAAATCTGAAATAAGCTAAGTTTGAAACGTCTTCACTCCATATTGTATTTACTTGCAGGCAAAGAAGCCATGGAATTGTTCGAGAGAGCGTGCCATTGCTTCGATGACCCCAATGTAAGACATCAACGCTAAGTATAATGTCAATATAAGATTGAATCTCTTTCAGCAAATGCGTGAGCATATATGTTCATGTATGGCACACACCAATGAGTGCGCAGATCTACAGCCATTGCACGGAGGAGTTCAGGATGAACGTGGAGGGCGCGTTCCACGTGCAGCGGAACGAGGTGGACGAGTACTGCGGCGGGCCGTGCCTGGAGGAGACGCAGCTGGCGCTGCAGTGCGTGGAGGAGGTGGCCGCCCAGAGCTTCAAGTTCTCCAACGGCGCGTCGGTGCTGGCGGTGAAGCAGGCGCTCGGAACGGGATGCAGCTACGGCCCCGACAGAGGTAAACATTCTGTCACTCTGCGCTTGATGTTAATTTTGACATCTTTCTTCCCCATGCCAAGCATGCATATCTGACGACTGAACACGAGACGTGCGCAGGAACCTTTGAGATCAGGGAGCGCAAAGAATGCGTCGGCGGCGCCGACGAGTCCTACTACCACAAGTCTCGCGACCACGAGCAGGAGAAGCCAGTCGGCGGCCGGTACTACGGCGAGGGCAACCAGCAGCCGTATGATGAGCAGGGCGCCGGATATGGCGAGGGCGAGGAGTACTGCTACGGGTACGGGGCCGCTGGCAGGCTAGGAGAGCGCCGCGGCTACCTGCAGATGATGATCCTACTGCTCGTTGCCTCTGCACCACTGATCCTCACGCTCTAAAATTCAGTTTGTGCTACCAGGATGTGGATGTTATAGACCCATGTTTTATGCTCTGTTCCTTCGTTTTTTCCCATTCACTTGTCAGTCATTTTGCACGCAATGCCTACGTTTAGCACAAACACTTCTTCTACAAATACATATGTTGCTAGTATATACTAAAGTATTGTGCTTTCTTTAGTTCGCCACTCGATCCATCATCCCTCACTCTCACTCCTCTTCTTCCATCCTTCGGTTCGTCGTCCCTTGCTCCTTGCCTTCTCGCTGACAGGTGGCAAACATAGAACCACGACAGTAGTCCAAGGCCTAGGGTTCCGTGTTGGTCTATCGGTCCTCACTCACGCCCATCTTCTTTGGTCCATCGGTATATAAAGTGAGCATAATTAACCAAATGCGACTGAATATGATTTTTTTCATCTCTAATTCACTCTATAGAAGTAACTAACTAAATTAAGTCTTATTAATTCAATCTTCTCGCTCATTTACCCAAAATAATCAAATTTTGACCTAAACTTCCTTATGCTATTGCTAAAAATTAACATATGTTGAGTAAGGTAGCTCGATCTTATATTGTTTCATTTTGTGTTTTATGCAAATGTTTGGACCGAGAAAGAACAAATTTTTGGACGGCTATAATTGTGTTTTTATGTAATAGTGTTAGTGAGGAAATTAGCTTCCATCTGTTTTTTGAATGTCCTTTTAGCAACTCTTGTTGGAACCCCCTGTCAATCCATTGTGATTTGAGTCTTCAATCTCTGGACATGATGATAGAAGCGAGAACAACCTTTGGCAGTCTCATCTTGAGAGAAATTGTTATCATGGCTTGCTGGGCTATCTGGACAACTAGTAATGGAGATCATTTTTGACAATAAGATCTACGAGCCTACGACCTTCCAAATTGGAAAGCCACATTCAAAGAAGAGCTTGGATTGGTTTGTATCAAAGCCAAGCAGAAAATAAGAGGGGCTTTAAGTTTGTGGAGAGAATTTTTCTTAGCATTTTCCTCCTTTTTTCCTTTGGGCTCTTTGATCCTTGTACTTTGTAAATACCATCTCTCTTTGTTCTTGCATATATACAAAAATACAGGTAGGGGCCTCCCCGGTTGAACCTTCAAAAAGAAACCATTTAGGTCTTGTTTCGAAAGAGTAGTTCTAGTTTTGAAGAAGGAGATTATTTTTTTGAACGAAACTAGAGGAGTTTGCACCCCTACAGCATAGATTAAGAATAAAGAAAGTGGTTCAGTATATAGGAAAGAAAGGAAAAGAAAAGCTAGAGTACAACGAGAAGGGAGGAAATCTAGGACACAAAGAAAGAAACATGAAAGAGCAGTACAAGCAATGCTAGCAACCAAGCTAAGTAAGATTTGCAATCCATTGATCTATTCTTGGGGAGTATCTTCTTTTCGCCCTTAAGAGTAAGAGCTGGAATTCCTCTTTGAAAATTTGCTTGGCCAAGGGATGCTTGGATTTACTTGGCGAAAGATTAAGTCATTTCTTGCTTTCCAGATAGTCCAACACATCAGGATAATGATCTCCATGAAGAAAGGCACTCTTAGCTGATCTTTGAAGCTTTGTAGGTTCTGGTAATGGTCTGAGTGTTGGTTAGTCTGAATATTAATCATTCCCCCACACTGAATGGCAAAGAGACATTCCAAGAAAAGATGTGACAGAGATTCTTCCACAGCAGCATTGCAGAGCACACAATTAAAATCCTGTAATGCCATGTTCTTCCTTCTCAACAATTCTCTTGTGCTTATCCTGTCTTTCTGGAGAAGCCAAAAGAAAACCTTGTGTTTGCTTTGGCATGAGCATGCCCAGAGCCATTTATAGACTGGGTGAATGACTAGATGGCCACTTAGATGTCTGTATGATTTCTTTACTAAAAATTTGTTGCAATTCCAGATGTAAATCCACTTATTTGAGTCCTCATTTATATTGACTTCATCCAAAGTGTCCTGGAGCTGCAACATCTGGACATGTGCCTGTTGGGAGAGAGGCAAATGAAAGAGGTTGTGCAAGGGTGTTTGGGCATAACCCTCAGCAAACAATATCTTTTTTCTTTGCAAATGAAAATAGCTCTGGAAACTTTAGAGTGAGAATCTCTTTGCCCCACATATCTTCCCATAGAAAACAGGATGAGCCATTTCTAATTTCCACCCTAGCCATTCCTTTGAATTTATCTAGCAGCTTTACTATGTCCCTCTACATCCCTTCTTTGAACTTCCAGGCAATTTTCCTGAGCCATAATATTTTTCCCAAACTAGAGACACCCAAGGAATGTCCTCCTTGTTGAAGAATTTATGCAGATGCTTGATCAGCAAGGCTTCATTCTGGGTTTTAATGTTAAGAACACCCAGCCCCCTCCTCCTTTTCCTTGCAAACAATTGGCCAAGCTGCTTTTGGTTTCTATTTTGCATTGAAATCAGCACCCCTTCATAAACAAAGTTTTCTGAACTTATCTATCTGGTCAATCACTGTCTGCTGAAATAGAAAAGTGCTCATGCAGAAGGTTGGCATTGCAGTGAGGATAGAGTTTTTGACTTCAAGCCTTCCTGCCTGATTAAAAAAGGCTGAGGTTGCAGCAAGCCTTCTCTCACATCTAGTGACTAGAGGTGGAAAGTCAATTGCTCTAGGCTTGGTGAGGCTTAAGGGTAATCCTAGGTAGGTGAAAGGTAAGCTTCCAGTTTCACAATTAAAAAAGTTCTTGCAAGATGTTGCAGCTTAGTTTGACTTGTGTTGATAGGAACCATGATCGATTTGGTGTAGTTCACCTTGAGTCCAGTTGATTCACCAAATGTGTGCAACAAAGCCTTCAATGCTACTAAATGTCTGCTGCAGGCTTCCATTATCAATAAGGTGTCATCTTCATACTATACAATTAGAAAATCAGTTGTGTACCCTAGTGGAATTGGGAGCTTCAAAAGTCCTTGGCTTTTGGCTTTGTTGATCAATGATTGTAGCAAGTCAGCAGCAAGAACAAATAACAGAGGTGACAAAGTGTCACCCTGTCGAACTCCTCTCTTGTAGTGGAAGACCTTACCTGGCACACCATTAAGTAGGACTGAAGAGGTTCCAGAGCAAAGAACGGCTTTCACCCAACTAATCCATGTAACAACCCAAGTTCATTACAACATAGGCAATCAATTTTGGCCATCGAAGGAAGTGATCACCTGAGATCCTGTACAGATCCCTAGTGTTTTAAGTAAAGATTGACTGCTAATAATCTACCGTTTCACCCCGCAAGCATCGTTGGATAGCTATGGTCAGGCTCACACCCGGATCAATGTGGGCAATAGGATCAAGAGACATCCTCTTGACATCATCAACACCAGATCAACCTCAGAGAGTACCCTAAGACAATATAACTTGGTCCCTAATGCCCAGCCACCCAATGGTTGGATCAATTCAGCCAAAATAGTGAGACATCGGACAGTCAGAGAACTCTACCGGACTATCCGATGGATCACAGGACAACAACACTAAGTGGGAAATGAGTTGTTTGCCACTAATGGAGTGGGACCCACTTGCCAGCTCGAGTTGGGACATTTCATCAGCTAAAGCCACACCCCCTCACCCACTCTATCACTCACCCATTCATTTGCCACTCTCTCCCTCTCTCTCTCTCTACACCACAAGAACAAGGATGAACCCTAGAATTAGAGAGAGAAAGGATTGGAGAAGAGATTGGAGGAGAAGAAAGGAGAAGGAAGCACCACCACTACTCCATGAACACCATCAACATCTTCAATCTTGTAACGACCTAAAAACCATTACAATATAGGTAGTCATTTCTGATCATCCTAGTGTGCATGTCATAATCGCAATTTGAATCTGACTTGTGCCTACGCCAACCCAAAACCGAGCACTGCCGGTTTTGGCGGATCGTCTGACATCACTACCGGACCATCCATCAAGACATCTCACAGACTTAGAATAATTCTAGCCAGCACATGCACCGACAGAGTGTCCGTTGCCACTGGTGAACTGTCCATCGAAATATGTCAACACCTGTCTCATGCATGTGATGCGGTGTCACACACACACCCCACCAGGGCCCGCATGTCAGCACATCACTCACACAAAACCACACCACCACTAGCCCTCCCTCTCCATCTCTCATTTCTCAGGCACAAGCACCAGAGAAAGGAAAGAAAGAAGAGAAGGAGAAGAGAAGGGAGAAGAAGAGAGGAAGAGGAGGAAGAAGAAGGAGAGGAAGAGGAGGATGGTGCCCACCAGCTGCAGGAGGATGGTCCACGATCTCGCCCCATCAGAAAAGCCTAATGTCATCTTCCCCAATCCCCTTGGCCAATCCCATTGAGTTCTTGCTCCATCCAAGACCGCCACCACCATGGATGAGGTCGAGCTCACCACAACCCATGCATGTCACATCCATCACTTGTAGAAGCTTTCCTACATCACTAGAAAGCCATAGGAATAAACCACACTCGATTTGGAGCCCGGATGCCCCAGGAATCATCTCCAACGTTTTTACACCCGAGCTGTTCGTCGTTTTACCGGATGATCCGTCGTTCTCGCGGACTGTCCGTCGGTGCCAGTGTTCATCCCAGCGAAATGCTCCGGTAAGCGCGTTCGTCCCTGGTGGACTGTCTGCCCGAATTCACAAACTATCTGCTGTACCACAGCAACACAACCCCAACTTGTAAAGGTCGTAGAAGATGCGTTCAAGCTCCAAAAATGGTGAAACGAGTTTGTTGTGCTCCATAGAACATCATCTATCATCTAGACATAACTTTGGCACCAAAGGGCATATCTAATTTTTGACTGTCGGAAGAGACTAAGCCCTTATAATTTACCGGAGGCTCCGCCACACGCACCAGAGTGTCCGATAAGTTATAAATCACAGACAGGAGTTTCTCGAGAGCACAGACTTCATACTAGAGAGTCTGATCTTAGTTTGGAGAGTCTGATGTCCCCAATATGTCATTTTCCCACTAAGTCCCAGAACCACCGGACTGTCTGACATTCACGCGCGGACTACCCAAT